GGTCCTACTGTCGGAATAATTGACAGGGGCGGCAGGGGTGTGAGCATATTGCCTGCTGCGCGCGAGGCCACCATCTGTCAAAAACCATATCAAGTACACTTCGCGGCTCTCTTGGATCTTGCGCAGCCACACCGCGATCATTGTCCATGTGTTTGTGACAATGGCGGCAAGGGTGCTGGCATATTGCCTGCTGTGTGCAGGCCCATCAGGCACCATGATGGCCTCCCCGCCGCGGCGATTGTGCATCGGCTTTCGACGAGGATGGTGGGGGCCGACATGTTTCCCGATGTGTGCTGCCACGTGCGCGGGCGCGCCTGGCACAATCTGCGCTCGCCCCGAACGTGGCGCGCCTGGAACGGCTGGGCCATGCGGCACACACGGCGCGCGTGGAGGACGTGGCGCATCTGGCACGCCGTGCTTGGCACGCTTGGGCCCCAAGTGTGCCTGGCGCACCTGGCGCACCAAGCCCCAGCATCGCGCACATGGGGTCTGCGTTGGTTTCCAATAGCTGTCCACCCATGGACGACCGCTGGACATGCTGAGACTCGGGTCTACGTATGTTCTGGGAGGGCGGATGGGAGTGAGCGAGCACGCTTGCGGGCGGGGAGGATGTCTTGGCCCCTCTCCCTCCCCCTCCTCCTGGATCTGGACGGGGGGTTCGCGACTCGGCGAGAAGGCACAACTCATCGAATTTCTCAAGGTGCTGGTCCAATCTGGCCTCTTGGATGGGGAAGCTAATATGGTACCCCCTTCTTTGATCGAGCTCTTCCAAGATGGCCCCCAACGCTCCCACGAGTGCCCCAAGATGGCCTCAAGAGGCGCACAGGCGGCCCGAAGAGGCCCGCAGATGGCTCCCAAGAGGCTCCCACAAGGTTCCCAAAAGGCCCCAAGAGGTTCGCAGGAGGCACCAGAGTCGGCCCAAGGGGCCCCCAGGACAGCCAAGAGGCCCTCAAGACGCCCCCCAAGGACTAAAAGAAACATCAGAAGAAACTCCGCGAGGCATCCAAGAGGCCTCTGACCATTCTGCTCGCTCTCCTCCTCCTCCTCCTCCTCCTCCTCCTCCTCCTCCTCCTTCTGTTCCTCCTCCTCCTCCCCCCCCCTGTTCCTCCTCCTCGTTCCTCCCTTTTCCACCTCCTCCTCCTCCTCCTCCGATTTCTCCTCCGTCCTCTCCCTCTTGGGGTACGACGGCTTCCCAAACCCGCTTTTCCACGGCATGCCCCTTCACATCCCTGATCAGCGCAACCCGCTGGGCATCGTTTTTGGATGGGCTGATGGGTCTACGCGACAAGGTTACACATATCCTCCCCCTCGTCTTCCTCACCCTCTTCTCCTCCCACTCCTCCTCCTCCTCCTCCTCCTCCTCCTCCTCCTCCTCCTCCTCCTCCTCCTCCTCCTCCTCCTCATCCTTCTCCTCCATCTACTCCTCTTCTTTTTCTTCTTCTTCTTCTTCTTCCTCCTCCTCCTTCTCCACGACCGCCTCCTCCTCCTCCTTCTGCTGCTCCTCCTCCTCCTCCTGCTCCTCCTCCTCCTCATCATCCGCACCGCCCCCGTCGCTTCAACACCTTCTCTTCCCCACCCTCCACCCCCTTCGGGCCAGAGATGCTTGTTCACAGCGTGTCGCGGCGGCGGCCCAGGCGACGTGCTGTACCTTGCGGGCGGATGGCGTGTCGCAGCTCGGGGGGTTGACGCTGCGGGCCTGGGGTGTGGCCAGCGTGCCGCGCCGAAGTGTGGTGGGCCAGAGCCAGCGGCGCGACGCCCTACGCCACCAGTTCTCGACCGAATCGTTCTCCTCCTCCGCCCTCGGCCCTCCTCGTCGCCCTGGGCCCCCCTCGCCCTGCTCAGCATTCAACGTTCGTCTTCTCGCCGACGTCGTCTTTGTCGACGTCCTCCTCCTGCCCCCCCCCCCTTCCTTCTCCACGACCTCCTCCTCCTCCTCCTCCTCCTCTTTCCCCTTCTCCTTCTCCACGACCTCGCCCCTCCTTCTCAACGACCTCCCCCTCCTCCTCCTCCTCCTCCTCCTCCTCCTCTTCCTCCTCCTCCTCCTCCTCTTCCTCCTCCTCCTCCTCCTCCTCCTCCTCCTCCTCCTCCTCTCCCCTCCATGTTATTCTCCTCCTCTTCCTCCTCCACCTCCTCATTATCCTTCTCCGCCTCCTCTTATTCCTGCTGCTGCTGCTGCTCCTCCTCCTCCTCATTTTGCCTCTTGCCTGCCTTGTGGGGCATGCCCATTGGAATGCCCCACCGAAAGAAAAACCTCGCCCCCGTAGCCACGCAAATGGAATACAGGATGGCGAGCGCCACTCGACCTGGTTGAAAGGGATGGCGGCGGCAATGAGGACCAAGCTCAGGCGCACGCAAACAACAAACGGCACCGGGGATCATATCTGCTTGCGCTCAGAGGAAGTCGTTGGCGGCGGCGGCGGCAGCGCGGCGGACTCCGACGCTGCCAGGTCAACGAAGGCATGTCCGAGCCCATCCAGCGCGGCTGCGAGACTGCCAGGATCCCCGCCATGGGAAGCAGCAGCCAGCGGAAGGGCCCGAGAGCGCCCAGCGCCGCACCGCCCCACGGGACGTCGGCGTCGCCGCGCAGCCGAGCCCGCACCTCGTTGGCCTCCCAGCGCTGGCGGCTGGCCGCTCCGTCCAGCACAGCGCGGCGCTACACGAAAGGCTGCCCACGCGGCGGCGCTTGCATCCCGAGGCGCACGGTCTGCTCGTGCATCACCCCGATGGGGATGAAAAGGTGGAGAAGCCGGACTCGGCGCCCAGGGCGGCGCTGCCGTCTGGACTTCGCCCTTGCCCATGTCTTCGGTCGCTGCGCCCAGGAAGACGGTGGCACCGCATGTGTACAGCACACCGCACCAAAGCGGAACAATGTCTAAGCCCGACTGCACCGCCAGAGGCACCGCCGAGGCCCCCACCGCGTCCCACTCGACGTCGTCGCCCACGTCCCGCCGCAACGCTGCGCCAGCTCCCAGGCGAGGCCCCCGTGGCGCTGCCCGGAGTTCGCTGGGGACCGCCATGCCGACGCCCAGCCGCTCGGCAACCGTATGTGGGGCGACGTTACGACGCAGCCGATCGAGGTCGCCTGGCGTACGACCCGCCAGCAGGGCGGCTACCACAGGCGCGCACGCCCCCAGCCGCGCCTCGGGCTCGCTGAAGATTGCCTCGATCTGCTCGTTCAGCTGCTTGACCTTCAGCTCGGCCGCCGCCAGCTCCTTGACGAGCCTCTCGACGACGTTGCCAGCTGACGCGGCAGCCCACGCGCGCCGCTGCCGCCGCGCGGCCGCGGTGCTTCCTTCGTCTCGCCACGCACCACTGGCGAGTCCGGTAGCCACCTCCACCGGCAGCGCGCCACCAGCCGCTCGGAACAAGGGACCATGCCGAGCGAACCGCGGGGGTTTGCCCGCTGTGGACGGCGGAGCCAAAATGGCCAAGGCCTCCTTTTCCGCCTCTTCCTCCTCTTGCTCCTCCTCTTCCCTCTCCTCCTCCTCCTCCTTCTCCTCCCTCCTCCCTCCTCCTCCTCCTCCTCCTCCTCCTCCTCCTCCTCCTCCTCCTCCTCCTCCTCCTCCTCCTCCCCGACTGCCTCCTCCTCCCTCTCCTCCTCGCCCTCGTCCTCCTCCTCCTCCTCCTCCCCCTTCTCACCCTCACATTCGCCCTCGCTCCCACCCTGCTGCTGCGACCCGCCGAGAGGAAGACGCAGTGCGAGGGCGATCGGGCTGGGCTGGGCGGGCCAGCCGAAGAGCCAGCCGCGCCGCACCAATGGCGCAGTCGTGCGGCTGGCGACCCCCCCCCCTAGAAAAAAAGCGTGCAGGGGGACGATACAGCCAACCCGTATCATAAGGATGCGCGGTAAGGATGCAAGGGCCTTGGAGGGCCATGCTAATGTTGTTCCAGCGAAAGCCGCTGAGGATGGGCCGAGGAAGGAGGCAAGGATGCAAGGGTACCCTTGGGAAGGTTGCCCACCCTATCCATGCGGGTTGACTGCAAAAGTGGCATGCGTGCCCTGGCCCGTGCACGAGGGAGGGCGAGGGCCAAGAGAAACGGGGCGAGCAGCGGGGGGGGGGTCGGGACGACCAAGGTGTCCTCTTGGGGGCCATCATGGCCACCAGGAGGAGACAGGGGTAGGGCGGCCCGGGGGCGATGAGCGAACGAACACACGACGACACCCATACATGGCCCCGAACTTTGCAACGCAGCTGTGCAAAATAACAAACAGCGCCCTCCTCGGGAATGTGGCTCCTCTGCGGGGGGGGGGGGTCGACTGGGGAACCAGGCGGAACCTATCCAGAACAGAAGGGCGGGGCGCCCCTCCCCACATCCCCCTGAACCCTCATCACCCCCCGCCTTTATCCTCCTCCTCCTCCTCCTTCTCATCACCATCATGATCATCATCATCAACATCGTCGTCGTCAACATCATCCGCGCCATGACCATCATCACCATCAGCATCAGCATCACAATCACCATCATCATCGTGACCACCATCATCACCATCATGATTCTCGTCGTGATCGTCATCAGCATCACCACCAGTATCATCATCAGCATCATCGTCGTCATCAGCATCATCAGCATCATCAGCATCATCACCATCATCATCATCATCAACATCATCATCATCATCATCATCATCATCATCATCATCATCATCATCATGATCATGATCATGATCATGATCATGATCATCATCATCAGCATCAGCATCAGCATCAGCATCAGCATCAGCATCAGCATCATCATCATCATCATCATCATCATCGTTCGCATCAGCACCGTCATCGTCATCACCGTCAGGATCAACATCGTCCTCCCCATTCTCATCATCAACATACGCATCACCACCAATATCAGCATTCTCATCGTCTCCATCCTCCTCCTCCTCCTCCTCCTCCTCCTCCTTCTCCTCATCTTCCATGCGAACCACGAACTGGCGGCAAGTCATCCCAACTCCTCGTCCTCCTCCTGCCGCTGCTGCTCCTTCTCCTCCTCTTGGGCAACCATTTTTTCTGAGCAAGCAAGCGCTTCAAGATATCTACTGGTCTATGCTAGGCCAGCGCTCTGCGGCACCGCCGCGAGCTCCTGGCCAGCCCTCCCGAGGAGGTAGGACTTCCCTGCTGGAGGCCAATGGGATCCCCCAGGGCGTCGGACCTCCGTCCCCCTCCCCCGTCCATTCCTCACTCCCTTCCTCGCGCTCGCCTCTCTTCCATCCCCCCCCCCCCTCTCATCCTCGCAGTCCTGTGGCGCCCTTTCCTCTTCGTGCCCCCGCCCCACTTCTACAGGCGGCGGGGGATATCCCCACCCCTCTCCTCACCATACTTTTCCCCCTCGTGCTCATCCTTCTCCCCATCCTTTCCCCCCTCCTCCCTTTCCTCCTTCTTTCTTACGTTGGCGGAGGGGGGGGATGAGGATGAACAGGAGGAGATGGCGGGAGATGGCGGCGAGAGGCATCCGACGGGGCCCGACAGACGCTCGTGACGCCCCAACGGGCGGCCTCAGAGAGGCATCAGGTCGACGAAGCCGCAGACCTTGCACGGCGCACGCCGCATCGCTTGGCCCAGGATGGCCAACGCGACATCACGCCGCGGCCGCGGCGCGGCCCGCTTGGACTTGGAGGGCTCCCCCAGCACTCCTCGCAGGCGGCGGGAAGCTGGGCGCCAGCAGGCCGCCTCCTCTCCCGCACCCCGCCTGCAGGCCAGCACGCCACTGCCAGGGCATGCCGACCTTCGGCCGGTCAGACACCAGCCGCCAGTGCCGCAGCCAATCGCCCACAGCACCCAGAACCCCAAGAGCGTCTCGCAGCTGCCGAACGCGACGAGGAGCCTCCTCCGACTGGCGCGCTCCGCCCCTCCAGGCGGCACGCTTTCAAGGCATACGCGAGACTCTGCCCCGACCCACGCCGCAGCCAGCAACTCCACGCCAGGCAATGGCATCTCCGCTCTTTGGGTGCCTGCTTGCCTCCAGCCGCCGAAACCGCGACCGCAGATTGGACAAGTAAGTCCGCGCATCACGACCTTCACCAGTGGGCGTGCCTCCGCACGGCTCCAGCAGCGCCTTCGACGTGCCACTGCCCGACCAACCCACGCACACCTGGCAGACGATGGTGGGGCCAGCCCTGCGCAACCAGTGGCCTGCACCTCCACCGCCGTGTCGCCCAGGGCCCAGAACGTCGACGGGGCCTCGGCGAGGTCGCCTGGGTCCAGCAACCCCTGGGACCCGTCCAGCGCCGCCATGGCGATCGGGCCCTCCGCGGACACCTGGAACCAAGTAGCCCCCACGTGCTCGATGATGGCGTCCGCCTCGAGCTTCGCCACCTCGCTCTCGCAGCAGGGCGAGCGCAAGTACTGCGCCCACGACGGACCTCGGGTGGCCGCCGTGGCTCTGCAGCACCGCCGACACAGCACGACCCTGCCGCCACGCAGGAGGACCAGCTGGTGCCGCACCGTAGCCACGGGCGGCGCGCACGGGGGCCCCTTGCAGGGGCGCCCGGCCGAGTCCGTCGCCTGCCAGCTCGGGATCTTCAGCATGCGCTGCATGGCCCGCACGATGTAGGCCGCGACCTGCTTGCGGCACTCGACCTCCGCCCAGTAGAAATCCGCGTAGCCCTGCGAGACAGCGCGGGCCCTGGCCTCCTCCCTCGCGAGGAGATCCGCCCACGCGTTCCCCATGAGGAGGAGGGGATGCAACCCGCGCTCCTGGAACTGCTGGAGCTCGGTGCGCGCAGGAATCTAACGCACCGCGGGCCGCGCAGGCTGCGCGCGCAGGCGCCCCGAGACCGCAGCGTGCGCCGCGCCAGCCTGCTCGAGCGCCGCGTCCCAGGAGGCCGCCTCCTCGGCGAGCCCCAGCAGGTCCGCGAAGACGACCTCGATGGCGGGCCCGCCGAGCTGCGGCGAGAGGACCAGCAGCGCCTGCGGCAAGGCACGCCTCTCCGCGCGCCCCACCGTCTGGAGGGGGCCTGGCAGAGGCCCGTACACGGCGCGCACTGGCAGGCCCTGCGTCAAAACCTGCACCGCTGCCCAGCCGCAGCGCCGCAGCTCGGGCATCGCCGAGGCCAGGCCCGAGTCGTCCGTGAAGAGAACACCTCCGCGGTGCGCCCAGCAGGCGGCACGGATGAACAGGAGGAGGAGGAGAAGGAGGAGGAGGAGGAGGAGGAGGAGGAGGAGGAGGAGTAGGAGGAAGAGGAGGAAGAGGAGGAGGAGGAGGAACAAGAAGAGGAGGAACGCCACGACGAGGCTGAAGAGCAGCGACAGCTGCAGGAGGAGCAGCAGCAGCAGCAGCCGCTGCAGGAGGGGGGAGGAGCCAGCCAGCTGGTGGAGCACCCCTCGAGGAGATGGATGGAGGAGGAGGAGGAGGAGGAGGAGGAGGAGGAGGAGGAGGAGGAGGAGGAGGAGGAGAGGAGGAGGAGAAGGAGGAGGAGAAAGCAACGAGCGTACCAGGCGCTCGTCTCCTCCTCCTCCCTCCTCCTCCTCCTCCTGCCCCTCCTCATCCTCGCCCCCTCGGCTCCTCGCCCCCCTCCCCCCCCCCCTCCTGAGGAGGAGGAGGAGGAGAGGAGGAGGAGGAGGGAGGAGGAGGTGGAGGAGGAGGGAGGAGGAGGAGGAGGAGGAGGAGGAGGAGGAGGAGGAGGAGGTGGAGGAGCCCACGCGTCGAAGAGACTCCCCCGTTCGCCACCTGAGGCGCCGCTGGCGGCGGGGCCTCCCAGGACCGCGGGGCCGCGGACGTCCTGCTCCTCGAAGATGTCGTCGATGAAGCTGCCGCCGCCTGCGGACGGCACAGCGACGGCGGCGCCGTCGGGGGCTGGCTGCACGGGTGGAGCAGCAGGTGCTGGCCCTTCTTTTCGATGTGCAGCAGCCGTGCGTTGATCGCCTCCAGCGGATTCGGCCGCTAGTCCCTCCGCCCAAACCAACGCAGCGCCAGGCAGATTAACGGTCGGTGGAGCCGCACATGCAGCCAACGCTGCCGAGGCAGCAGGAACGCCGCCATTGCCTCCTCCGAGAGCCCCACCGCACCGTCCGGAACGAGGTGCGAGTCGGTCGTCTCATTGATGTCGAGCTCGGTGGTTGGGACCATGCCGTCGCTGGCCACGACACCCCGCAATTCAAGATGGCCGTGGAGCCCGTCAGGAAGGTCGCCCACATGAGCGGCAACCATCAGCACTGGGAGCCCGTCAGGACTGCACACTTCACCTTCGCCCCCTTCATGCCCGTGGAGAAGCTCTGCATGCATATCATCAGGATCTCTCGTGCCAGCGCCGCGCCGCGTCTGCAGATCGCCCGCGCCATCTTCCGAACGAAACTGCGCTGGGCCTCTGCGCTGAGCGCTGGTGAGGCGCGTCATAAGCGGCCGCGCCCATCAGGTTCTTGCACCTCCCAAGCTGCCGATGGGGGCGACGTGGAGGAGAGAGCGCAGCCATCTTGCGTCAGTAAAGCATCTGGGCGCTGTCGGAATCCAGGACGCTTGCAACTAGCAGCTGGTGCCGCCATCCGAAACGCTGCGCCCTGCCGGCGGTGTTGAATGTGCGCGCGAGCGGCGGCGCGGCCGGCGACGCCCTGAGTGGACAGCTCCTCAGGCGTCGAGACAGCAGACGTCACGCGTTGAAGTTGACAGGAGAGCCAGTTCGGCTCAGACACCCAGCTGCGATCTATCTGCGCCAACGCACTGGAGCCCTTGCAGAAGCGCGCAGGGCCCTCGAAGGGCGCGTTGTTGGCGACCTCGACGTCCCCGTCGGTTTCAGGGCGAGCGTGCTGAAGAAGATCGTGCGAGGCAAGATTGAAGTTGCCACAGACCGCCACCAGCCGCGAGCTAGCGTCCGATTGGGCCCAGGAAGTATCGCTTCCAACTCTGAGGACACTTTCCGAACACCCTCTGCCGCTAACCAGTGATCGCGAACGCTGCAGTGCCAATCTATGTTCGTAGTGCGCACAAGGCCGTCTTAAGCACTCCCCCCATATTCAAAATGAACGGCGTGGCAGACACTGAGGCTGACGAGGATACGGGCGCGACAGTGGCAACGCCACCGCGCTCATCTCCCCCCGAACAATCACAAACGATCCAACGACCACTGGCGATGGCGCCACTCTGCTCATGAAGAATCCCAGCAGCCCTCTGGGCGTAGGTGGTTTAGGGAGTTTTCTCTTCCAACCTCCTTCGTCCCCTTCGGGGAGGAATTGATCACTGTTCCCTATTGATAAACACCCCCTCCCCCGGGCGACTGGTAGCCAACTAGGAACCATGCGGCCCCCCCCCCGCCATCCCTTGCACAAACAAACCATACAAAACACACTCTGCCTCCAAATTCGGAGCATGCGCAGCCAACCCGATGCGGTCTTCATCCCTGTCCCCAAAAAACTGTACACAGTACACTTGGCGGCGGCGGCGGCGGCGGCGGCTGCGGCGGCTGCGGCGGCGGCGGCGGTTGCGGCGGCTGCGGCGGCGGCGGCGGCAGCGGTGGCGGCGGCGGCGGCGGGAGCGGCGGCGGCGGCGGCGGGTGCGGCGGCGGCGGCGGCGGCGACGGCGGCGGTGGCGGCAACGGCTGCGGCGGCAGCGGCTTCGGCAGCGGCGATTTGGCAGCGGGGCGGCGGCGGCGGCGGCGGCGGCGACGGCGGCGGCGGTGGATTGCCCCCCAGTAGCTGCCCATCCCAAAACGACTGCTGAATGTGCTGGGTCTCGGGCCAGACTCGGGTGCTGCGTATGTGTTGGGATGGCGGGTGGGAGTGAGCGAGACGGCTTGCGGGCGTGGAGGGAGTCTTCACCCCTCCCCCTACCCCCTCCCCTGGGCCTGGGCGGGGGGTTTCGCGACGCGTTGGAACGTCCAAAGCAGCCTCGGCGAGGAAGCCACAATCAGTGGTTTTACTACGGGTTTGGCCCCACTTTGGCTTCCCGAAAGGGGGTCGGCTAATTTAGCCCCCCCCCCCTCCTGTGATCGATCTACTCCACAATGGCCCCAGGAGGCGCCCAGGAGGCCCCAAAAGGCCCCGAAATGGCCCCAAGATGGGCCCCATGTGGCCCCAACAAGCTCCCAAGAACCCCCCAGGATGCCCCCAAGAGGCTCCCAAAAGACCCCCAAGATGCCCCAAGAGGCCACCCAGAGGCACCCAAAACGTTCCAAAAATCCTCGGCGAGAATGCCGAACTCATTGATTTTACATCGGTTTTGGCCACCTGTTGGCCTCCTAGGAGGGCACTGCTTCAGATGACTCCTGAGGCGCCTGGGGGAGCCCAAGATAACCCCCAAGATGGCTCCAGATATCCCAAGATGCCTCAAGATGGCCCCCACGATGTTCCAAGAGGCCCCAAGACCGCTTCAAGACGGCTCCAAGTGGCCAACGATCTCCCCCAGGAGGCCCCGAAGAGGCCCAAATCCTTCCAAAACCCCGGGGGGGTCAATGTGTTTGGTTTTCTCGTTTTTTCGCTTCCGATGGCCGTCCGAAGCTTCAAGATGGTTCCAAGAAGGGCCCAAGACGGCTCCACGAGCGCTCCAAAGGATCCCCAGAGCGCTTCAAGAGGGCCCCGAGAGGCGCCCAGGAGGCCCCAGGAGGCCCCAACAGGCGCCCAAGCGGCCTCCAATAGGCCCCCAAGAGACCCCCAGGAGGCCCCAAGCAACTCTCCGAGGCACCGAATACGCTCTAAGGTGCGCCCGGGACCGCCAAAAGGCCCCCAAGACGCTCCAAGAGGCCCCCACTGGGGGACCCTTCCTCTGCATGCTGCCCACTTCCCTGATCGAGGCAATTCCTCTAGACATCGTTTCTGGATGGGCTGGTGGGGTTGCGCGAAGCGTCTAGAATTTCAGCTCCTCCAAAGACTGGTGGGCCTCCCGGATCGCGCGCGCCAGGCGAGATATCCTCTTTTAGCGCGCAGGTAGCTTTAGCCACAGCACGAACACCACGCCAGCGTAATGAAGCTCTCGCGTTCCATGATGTGAAAGTCAGCTCCTCCGCCTCTGAAGCACGACCACCCTCCGCCACGTGCGCGAAGATGTCAAAGTAGACGCTAAAGAGACCACTCTGGTGCTGCATTGGGTTCAGGAGTGCGCTCGATTCGCACGTCGGCACGGGTCCACCCGCGATTGGTGAGAGCTGCATCATGCCAGAAGCAGAGAGTAGGGTCAAAACAAGCTTGGGGCTCCAACCTGGGGATCGGAATCCAAATCTCGGTGGCCCAGCCATTATGCCTGACAAAAACTTGGCCCTAGGCCACGGGGAAGCGCTCTCGGGGGGCAGCGGCAACTTTCTTCCCGGCGAAGTCGAGTTTGATCTGGCACGGGCTCCTGTCTGTACCCACATGCAACTGCTTAGAGACTCCAGACGCCGCAGGAACTGGGAAGCGCATCCACTGCCCCTTGCCAAGAAGACGAATGGCGCCGAGAGCCTGGACGACGCGGCGTCCAGCAATAGCAACTGCGCCCGTGAACTGCGCTGTGAAAATCCGATCCTGCTCCTCCCCCACCACTGTGCAACCCTCGAATGTCGCGTCGCTGAGCCACTCGCCAACTGGCGAGGCGACGTCAATCTTCTTGACGAAGGTGGGCGCGACAAGCTTGAGAATGGCACCGTCGACCTCCCGGGCGGGATCCAGCACTGGGAGGTTGGGGCGGAGGCGGGGCTCTGTTGGCGAGCGCGAGCTCGCGCCGCATCTCTTCCATGGACGCGCGCCGATCTGCAAATTCCTCATCAATCTAATCGGTCCTCCCGCCAATCGCCGCCACCTTGGCAGACAGAGTCCAGCTGCTCTTGGAATCGTTTCTCCTGGGCATCGACCTCAGGATGGAACGTGGCTTCCACATGCGCTTTGCAAGTGTTCGGGACCGACGTGGCCGCGTCCCTCACCGGTTTGAAAGCCGCCGTGACAGGGCTCGCAGCTTTGCCTGCGGTTGCACTAGCCGTGGTAGCAAACATATATGTGAGCTCGTCCACGGCGGCCTTGAATTGAATGCCGAGCTTCTCGTCAATGAGACCCCCGATGTGGGCGTTCCAACTCTCTGGGCCCATTCCGTCTTCAGCACCGCTGCGGGCGCGATTCGAGCGAGACCTATCATCATCTCTCGCATCTGCGCCATCGTCCCTGCGACCGCCATCACCAGCGCCAGCGGCAGCACGGCGAGCACCAGGGGGCTTCTTCTTCGCGCACTTGCGCGTGGGGCCACCCCCATCAGTCCCAGGCGCGAGCTGGCGCGATCGGGCGACAAGGGCTGGGCGCGGTCGCGGAAGACTGGCCGCGGCGTCAGCGGTGCGATATCCCTAACCAGCGTCTCGAGCCCAGATGGCTCCGGAAGAAGGAGGGGCCCGCGAGCTGCAGAGAGAAAGAGAAGAAGGGCGGCCAAGAGCACGAGACGAAGAGCGGGCGGGAGGGCGAAGAACGGAGATGTCCCAGCCCGTCCCCAGTCTCCCGCGGCGGCGGCGGCGCTCTCGGCGTCGGCGCAGCTGGCCAGGCTGCGCCGGCATATCCAGCAGCGACCGCGCCGTGCAACGCATGAGATTCTCGGCAGAAGGCGAACAGTCGATCACGGCCCAGTCGGGGGCTCGCAACGGACGAAAGAGCATGGGCGGAGAGCCTCAAACAATGATGCGCAATATACAGTATATCGATGTGGCGCCCAACACTTAGACTGAACAGGAACGCGCGCGGCAGCGTTGACCAAGCAGGGCGGACAAGATGGGGTGCAACGCAAAAGGACAGAGGAAGAAGGGACAAGCGCATGACCAAACATTCGGCACAACTGCAGCTATTCATGCGCGGAAGAGTCGCCGATGACGACGCAGAATGCTTTGCGCTCGTGAGTCCGACTACAGAATACAGGACACCAGCAGTCACAATAGGTTGAGAGGGCAATGACATATACAGAACGTGGAACGTCTGAGGCTATCCGGCACATGCCGAAAATGAGACCGTCTGTGACGCTAGGGATCGCGGGTCGGTCATGCTGGAGGAGACGTCCGATCTCAGCATGACCCAAGAGATCCAAGGGCCTGGAACATGTCTCAGCAGCACATGGAGAACGTGACCAAATATAAACAAGCAGGGGTCAACAGTACCAAGAGATAGTGCTGAAGAGGATGGACGGCAGGAGGGGCAGCATGCTGGAACCCGCGAAATCCGCCCCGAATGCAGATCTGGAGCCAGAAGACGAAGAGGAGGACGAAGCCAATGAAGCCGTCGAATTCGTGGCGGAAGTACATCTGTGACCCGGAACACTGCGTCGATGCGCGCCATCGTCTACACTGCTGAGGATGCCTTGCAATCGTGACAGCGCGCCCCACATCGACAGAAGTTCGGACTGGCAAGGTAGTTTCCTATTGTGCAGCAGCAGCCCACGGAATGTAAGTCGGCTCTTCGATCGCGAAGCGCTGCAGCCCTTGGTCGTTCGGGATGATCGTGAACTGGTTATTGTCTCCAGCTTCAATACGACATAAAATCCTCACCTCGTCGTCCATGATCATGAGGAGCGCGCCCTTAGAGCCCTGAGAACCGAGCTTCGTGTCGGTGGTCCACTGATTCGTGGAGGCGAGCTGAGTGCGGACACGTTCCCACAGGTAGCCGAGGATCCTGTCGCGGCGCCTCATATCTGCAGTAGCGTCTTCCCGAGCACGTAGTTGGATCACGCCTCCACGAGGGTCTGTCCACTTCAAGTTGTGGCCTTCGACCACCGCACATTCTCGCGCTGCTTGAGGAAGGTTTGCAAGTACCTTGTGCCCATGTTGCGCGAAAGCTCGTCCGAGCAGAAGTCGGGGAAATCCTCCGATGCACACTTTACGTGGGTCCGACATCGCCTCTGGCTTGGGTCGCATGGCGCCTGACAAGGATGAGGCAGTCGAGGAAGGCGGATATGTAGTCGGCATAGTACGTTTGATCTCGGCGATCTTCTGGTCCAACATGGAGTTGATCGCTTTTGCCTGCGCCTCCGGTAGTGAAACATTCATGTGTACACCCATGGAATCGTTTTCTCCTGAAGATCGTCGACGCGTCGAGTCTGGAGTCCCGTCCGTGCGTATGCTGTTCAAGTCTTCCTTTGTCGCGAGGTTGGCCTGCCCATGTCTGTATCGATGTGAGCATCTGTAACATGCGCTGGAAGTCTGCATGTTGGTCAGGGTTTGTCGCACCCTTGCCAGCGGCCTTCGCTTCAACAAACCGAGCGGCCATGGCTGCAGGCATCGCATCGGCTGGCGCGACAGACGGGGCCACAGGGCCGAAACCCGAAGGGCCCTCCGCGTCGTCCGCCATCGCGTGCACGAATGAAAAACTGGATGGAAACGCGCACAGAACGAAGGGGGCGGCAGGGCCAGCTGATGACCGTGGAAAGCGCTCGGGCCTGTCCCTTGAATCAAAATGGCTTGAGCCAAAATAGCTACGGACCGGGAAAAGGAGGGGCAGAGGGAGGAGGAGGAGGAGGACGAGGAGGAGGAGGAGGGGGAGGAGGAGGAGGAGGAGGAGGAGGAGGAGGAGGAGGCGGAGGAGGAGGAGGATCGAGGAGAAGGAGGAGGAGGACCCCCTCCTGCTGGACGGAGGCGCTGCCGGGCCACCCCCAAAGTCCCCCCGCCGGCTCCGCGGCGGAAGGCTCCGCCGCCCGGGGCCCTACCCACCACGGGGCCCGGGCGGCCGCCCCGCCGGCGCGAGGGCCGGGGCGGCGCCGGCTCACGGCCACTCCGCCAGCGCGAGCTCCCCGCAGCTCTCGATCACCACCTGCTCGTGGGCTGCGCCCCGAGGGGAGTCCCAGATCTCCCAGGCTACAGCCGGCCCGTATCCGAAGCTTGCGCGGGAAGGATGCAAGGGCCTTGGACGCCCATGTCGAAGCTTCTCGAGCGGGGCGCGGCCCACGAAGGTGGCCAAGGATGGACCGAGGAGGCCAGGATGCAGGGGTACCCTTGGGAACTTGCCTATCCTTGCTATGCGGGTTGACTCTGTGATGAGTGGGTTTTGGTTCGTGAATCCCCTCCCGAGGAATTTAGGATGTCGGCTGGCAGCCGTTCTGAAAAGGGAAGGTGGGACTCCTGCGCGGAAGCATCTCGACGTCCTCCCCTTCATCACTTCGTCATCGTCACTTCCTTCCTGCCCCTCCTCCTCACGAGGCTCCTCCTCTGTCTTCCTTCTCCTCCTCCTCCGCCTCCTCCTTCTCCTCCTCTTCCTTCTCCTCCTCCTCACCCCCCTCCCAGCCGGCGACCCCTTACGGCGGAATCATTGGAGAAAAAACAATCGCAACAAACAACAACAACAACAGCAACCTAAAAACGGTCCCGGGGAATTTCCGACACATCATCAAGGTAACAAGCCACATCAACAACACACAACACATGTCTGTGGAAATGCAGCAAACCACATCAACACACAAAAAATACACACCAACAATAACAGTAGTAGTAGTAGTAGTAGTAATAGTAGTAGTAGTAGTAGTAGTAGTAATAGTAGTAGTAGTAGTAGTAGTAGTAGTAGTAGTAGTAGTAGTAGTAGTGGTAGTAGTAGTAGTAGTAGTTGTAGTAGTAGTAGTAGTAGTAGTAGTAGTCGTATTAGCAGTAGAAGAAGTAGTACTGGTAGAAGTACTATTGGTAGTCGTCGTAGTAGAGGTAGAAGTGGCAGTTGTAGTCGTAGTAGGTCGCAGACATCGTCGTAGTAGTAGTAGTAGTAGTCGTAGTAGTAGTAGTAGTAGTAGTAGTAGTAGTAGTAGTAGTAGTAGTAGTAGTAGTAGTAGTAGTAGTAGTAGTAGTAGTAGTAGTAGTAGTAGTAGTAGTAGTAGTAGTAGTAGTAGAGTAGTAGTAGTAGTAGTAGTAGTAGTAGTAGTAGTAGTAGTAGTAGTAGTAGTAGTGGTAGTTGTAGTAGTATTAGAAATGCTATTCTTAAGAGTACTAACGGTAGTAGTAGTCGTCGTCGTCGTAGTAGTCGGAGTAATCGTTGTAATAATAACCGTAATATATGTCGCATGCGTGGTCGTAGTAGTTGTCGCCGTAACAGTAGTAGTGAAAACCGTAGCGTTAGTAGGCGCAGTAGAAATCGTAGTCGTCGTGATCGGAAAAGTCGTCATAACGATGATGGTAGCGGTAGCTGTTGTAATCGTAGTCGTTCTAGTAGTAGCAGTAGTAATAGTAGGAGTAGTAGTAGTAGTAGTAGTAGTAGTAGTAGTGCTTAGTAGTAGTAGTAGTCGTCGTCGTAATAGTAACAACAGTAGTAGTAGTAGTAGTCGTAGAAGTGGTAGTAGTAGTAGTAGTAGTAGTAGTAGTAGTAGTAGTAGTAGTAGTAGTAGTACAAGTGGTAGTAGTAGTCGGAAAAGTAGTACGAGTGGTGGTAGCAGAAGTAGTAGACCTAGTACTCGTAGTACTAGTACTAGCTAGCTAACAGTAGTGGTAGTAGTACAAGTAGTAGTAGTAGTAGTAGTAGTAGTAGTAGTAGCAGTCGTACTACGAATAGCAGTCGTAGTAGTAGTGGTGGTAGTAGTAGTAGTAGTAGTAGTCGTAGTAGGAGTAGTAGTAGTAGTAGTAGTAGTAGTAGCCGTAAAAGTACTACCAGTCGTAGCCCTCGCATTCGTAATTGTAATGGTATTAGTGGTAGTAGTAGCAATCGTCGTAGTAATAATAATAATAAAAGGGGTAATCGCAGCCGTCGTATTAGTAGTAGTAGTAGTAGTAGTAGTAGTAGCAGTAGTAACGCTATTAGTCGTAGTCGTATTAATAGTAATCGCAGTAGCAATAGTGGTCGTAGAACAGTAGAAGCCGTATTAGTGATATAAATATAGAAGCAGTTCTGGTAAAGCAGGAGTAGTAGTAGCAGCAGTAATGACACTGCTAGAAGTGGTGGTGTAGTAATCATAAGAGTACTGATAGTAGCAGTAGTGGTGGTAGTAGTAGTAGTAGTAGTAGCAGCCGTAGTAGTAGTAGTGGTAGTAGTAGTAGTAGTAGTAGTAGTAGTAGTAGTAGTAGTAGTAGGGCAGTAGTAATCGTAGTAGTACTCATAACCGTACTACTACATATGGGAATAGTCGCAGTCGTGGTAATAGCAATAGTAGTCGTAGAAGCAGTAGTAGTCGTCGTCGTAGTAGTAGTAGTAACAGCAGTCGTAGTAGTAGTAGTAGTAGTAGTAGTAGTAGTAGTAGTAGTAGTAGTAGTAGTATCAATCGTCGTATTCGTAGTAGCAGCAGCAGTAGCAATACCATTGGTAGTAGTCATAAGGCTGTTACTCGTAGTAGTCGTATAAATAGTAGTACTTCTAGTAGCAACAATCGCCGTAGTAAGACTAACAATGGTAGTAGTAAGACTGGTCGTAGCAAGCGTCGGATTAGTCGTAGTAGCAATGACAATCAAATCATAATAGTAGTCGGAATGCTATTAATCGTAGCAATACTATTCGTATAGTAGTAGTAGTCGTATGGGTAATAGTCAAAGTATTACTCGGAAAAAAGAGTAGTAGTGTAAGTCGTCGTAGTAGTAGGAGCAGTATTAGTACTAGTAGTAGTAGTGGTGTACAAATCGTAGCACTACGAATAGTAGCAGTCGTAGTAGCGGTGGTCGGGGTAGCAGGCCCCTACTAAT